TAGATTTGTAGAAATGCGTTACTTTAAGATATAGGAACAGTTAACAGGAGGCCTGCCACGGCCATACAGTTTGTAAGCAATATAAGTCTCTGTGTTTGCTTGGTTGGGTCTGAGTGGCTGTGGGACTGGCGGGTGACAGAGATTTGTCCTGACTGTGGGCAAGGCAGGAAAACTCTAGCTACACAGGACTGCCTGCTTTTCTACATTCCCAAAGCCAGGCTACCCTTTCGCACATAAAACACTGCTAGCTTAGGATATACATGAACGCTGGGACAGGGACGAAGACCAAGATGAGATCAATAGCAGCTATTTCATTCAAAGCTGGCTGTAACCAGTGACAGTCACTGCCGCTGCATTTGACAGAGAATCGATGCTGTCAGAGGAGTAAAACAGCTTAATAATGAAAGGGACAAGGGTTCACATATTCATGACATCAGAGTATTATTAATAGCAGAGAAAGACTGAAGGCTGGTTGACTGGGTCAGAGTTGCATGTTCAGTGCTCTCTGGCTGGGCCTGAGTTGGAAAGGAAAGGAGCAGATAAAAAAGAAGTTAGCTGAGGGTGGGGATGGGGGATGCACGCCTTTAATTCTACCACTTGGGAGGCAGAGGCAGGCAGATCTGTCAGTTTGAGGCCAGCCTGGTTGCATAGTGAGTTCCAGGAGAGGCAGGACTAAGTAGAAAGACCCTGTTGAAGAAGGAGGAGAAGAGGGGAGGGGAGGTCAAAAAGGAGGAGGAGGAGGAGCTACAATTGATCAGGTCCTGCTCATTCTGGCTGATCAGTGTTCTGTCATCTGTGATCTGACCGTCTGCTGCTCCATTTGTCAGGTTGCCATCTTGTCCTTCCCCTTGAATTCTCATCTCTCAACTTTCTCCCCTCTTAAGAACCACGCTGCTTTAATGTTCTACCTAACCTGGGACACTGAAACCAGACTGAGAAAAAAGTATACAGGCAAGCGTGGAGGCTGGGGATGTAGGTTGGTGGGAAAGACCATGAAACCCTGTGCTGACCCCCAGCATCACACTGAAAAATCAAATAAATAAATAAATAAATAAATAATCTGAGCATGATGGTGCATGATTGTAATTCCTGCAGTCAGAGGTAGAGGCAGAGGATCAGAAGTTCAAGGTCATTGTCTTAAGGTCTCCATTGCTGTGAAGAGACACCATGGCCACAGCAACTCTTATAAAGGAGAGCCTTTAATTGGGGCTGGCTTACAGTTCAGGGGTTTAGTCCATTATCATCATGGTAGGAAGCATGGTGGCCCACAGGCAGACATGGTCCTGCAGAGGTAGATGAGAGTTCTACATCTGAATTAGAAGGCAGGAAGAGGAGACTGTGTGCCACAATTTGAGCTTCTGAAACCTCAAAGCCTGCCCCCAATAACACACTTCCTCCAGCAAGGCCACACCTACTCCAAGGCCACGACTTCCAGCAGTGCCAGTCTCTATGGGCCTATGGGACTCTTTTCATTCAAATCTCACAGTCATTTTCTGATACATTGCAAATTTGAGGCCAACCTGAACTACATGAGACCCTGTCTGGAAAAAGAAAAGGTGGGACTGGGCTTGATGCCTCGGTCCTCTAACCTGAGCTCTGCACTAGGAAGCTGTAGTGGGAAGACTGCTGTGAGGCAGCCTGGACTAGTTGGTGAGAGCTTACCCTAAACACACACACAAACACACACACACACACACACACACACACACACTCACACACACACTCATGCAAACACACACACTTTCAAACACATGGACACACATGCACACATACACTCATGCAAACACACACATCCACACATGTAGTGGGTAGCCATTCCAGCTTGGATCTGGAAGTTCCAACCCCCATTGAGACTCTGGCAACTGTCATGCCTACGAGGCAGGGCGAGGGGAGGCGCTGAAAACCCAAGAGCTGGATGGGCCAGCACTCTCTCTGTGCGCGCTCTCTGTGCCTGGACCCTGGACGGTGGAGGTTGACTATGCAGAGCTCCAGAGAACACTGCTGGATTGCGATACACCTTCCCCAGACCCCCACAACCTATTTATTCCTTCATTTGTAAGTCATCCACTAAATAAATCTTCCTTTTAACTACGTGGAGTGGCCTTTATAATTTTCCCCAATACACACATGCATGCATACTGCATAAAGTTGGTATTAACCACAAAATTATATAAATATCAGATAATTTTATTATTCCAGAGAACAGTTCAGTGCCTAAAGAAAGGAAGATATGGAAATATTTCAAAGGCTGTTTTGAAATACTTTTTAAACTTCTTTGTGGGGAGGTGGTTTTTTGGTCTTTTTAATGGGTTTTGGGTCTAGGATGATTTTCATTGTTTAGGGGGGTTGGTTACAGTTGTTGTCAAGGGTTAGGAAAAAGGCTAAGCAAAGGAGATTAGATTTAAGATTCTTCTTTCAAAAAAGAAAGGAAGAAAGAAAGAAAGAAAGAAAGAAAGAAAGAAAGAAAGAAAGAAAGAAAAAGGAAGAAAAGAAGAAAAAGACAATTACTAGTTTTAAATACTTTACATTGGATTGGATTGTTTTATATTGTATACAAATTATATACATTGAAATTGATATCATTAGAAAATGCTATATGTATATTTCTAATTGTACTTATACTGTTCATTTAACAATGTAATGCAATTTTCTGATCCTTGAATGTTATTATTACCAACTATTAG